AATAACTGAGCTAACCGGCCACCTCTACGTTTTCTATTTTTTTTTTTCTTTTTTGTTTTTTTTCTTGACCGGCAACAGGATTGCAACCCTCGGTGTTGCACCCGCACCGCGCTCAGCCAGTGAGCGGGAACCGGTCACCACATGGGATCCGAACCCTCGGCGGGAGCGCCACCGCACTCCCAAGCGGCGCACTGTAGCAGTGCACCACCGGGCCAGCCCTACGTTTTCTATTTTTTGAGTATGGTTTATAACGTACTTAAATGTGATACATTAGTACAATTCATTATTAATGGTATGTGATCAAAATGTTTAAGATGTGATTTTTGAATCACCTGGGGTGCTTAGTAAAATGCACACTCTTGGGCCCCACACCAGATCAGCTGAATCAGAACCTTTGTGGTGGGGCCGGCCCGGTGGCGCACTGGAGAGTGCGCCACTTGGGAGTGCGGCGGCGCTCCCGCCGAGGGTTCGGATCCCATGTGGAGACCGGTTCCCGCTCACTGGCTGAGCGCGGTGCGGGTGCAACACCGAGGGTTGCAATCCTGTTGCTTGTCCCCAGTATGGGCGCAACACCGAGGGTTGCGATCCCATTACCGGTCAGTAAAAAAGACAAAAAGGAAAAAAAAAAAAAAAAAAGAACCTTTGTGGTAGACTGTAGGGAATCTTTTCATGCTACCAGAATGAGGACCAGTGTTCTAGAACAAGCCCACTGAAAATGAAAAAATTATAATCTGTACTTTAGGGAAGTATTTCAGGTTGTGACCAATCTTAGGATTAAATGTTTTATGTTTTTTTTTAAGTTTTCCCTCTTTGCTTCTATCTCCTCACTTGATCATACATAATTCCTAACATAAAAAGCTCCTCTTTTTTTGGCCTCCCCTTCCTCCCAAATCACTGTTGCTTCAGAATACCTTTATTATGGGTAGTGTTGTAATAGAGAGTTTCATAATAACTTTCTGAGAAAATTAATTTTAGAAGATAATCCACACCCTTGAACTCAGTGGTTCTAGAAGAAAGGATACTGTTCAATGTCAAATATGTAATTTAATCAGCAGTTGAATAAACACACAATTGACACAGAGCACATTAAAAAATTGAATAATCTTTTTATTTTTTATTTTTTGTACTTTTTGAGGACCGGCCGCACGGCGCTCAGCCAGTGAGCGCTGTGAGCGCACCAGTCATCTCCATATAGGATCCGAACCTGCGGAGGGAGCGCTGCTGCGCTCCCAGCACCGCACCCTCCCAAGTGCGCCACGGGCTTGGTCCAAAACTGAATAATCTTAGTGTGACTGTCTGATATCAAGATATACAAATAATGATCCAAGACTCTGTGTGTGTGTGTGTGTGTATTTCCACATAGACAAGTACAGTCATACACAAGACATTTTTCAAAACATACGTGGAACACAAACAGTAAATACAGTCCTCTGATGCAGTGACTTGAAAGAATGGCAAACATCCATTTTTTATTCAGGATCCTAATATTCTAAAAGTGCTATGAAAAAAATTTTGCAGGCCAAAAATTAGCCAAGAGAGATTATTTCAGAATTCACTATACTAGGAAACGGTTGACCTTTCCCACTGAAAATAAAGCTATTGATCCCTTCAACAGGACATGTCTACGTTTCAAAGCAGGTGACCTTGATCTACACCTTTCTAGGCCATTTTTGATTAATAACTCAAGTTTTCAAGACAGTAACTTGGGGATAAAGACAACAGAGTCAGGTAACTGACACACCAAGTAAGAAACCTTTGTTCTTGTTTTGATTAGCAAAGTATTTTAATCTAGGGAACTAGCCAGAGAGACAAAACCACAACCAGCACCACTAAACAGATTTCTACAACAAACAAACACAAAAGAAGGGGAAAGAAAAAAAGGCATTTAAGATGAGTTGAGCACCTGTGTTTTCTCTACTCCTACCTCACTCTATCTTCTGCAATACCTAGTGGAAATCTTTAATATGTACTCATCGTATAGAAGAAAAATTGAGGCTCTGAGATGGGAGCTGATTTTCCCAAGGTCATACAGCTTTCAAGTAAGATTTAAACCCTAGACTAAGTTCAAAGCCCTTGGTGTCTTCATTATATCAGGCTGCTCCTACCACAAAAAGTACACGGATCTAGTTGCTGAACAAGTCACAGAACATAATAATTACATTTCTGTACATGGATATCTTAAATGAATTATGAGAGTATATAAAGTAAATTAAATGTGCTATACTATGTATGGCCAAAAAAGGCTATATTTTTTTATAGGGGAATCAAGCAACTGCCACTACAACAACACACCATTACAAAAATCCTAATGGTAGTCAATACTGTTTTAAAGTGAGAAGTTTAGTAAACAGACTAATACTTACAAATCTTTCACTTGCATTGCTTGTGTAAGACACTCCTCTGACAGTAGTAATTTTATAAGCCTGGTGTAAGTTTCACTGTTAAACACAATGTCTTGCTCTTTTGCATTCAGGAAAATATTAAATGCATCTATCAGAGAGAAAAAAAAACAACAAAAAATGAGATGGCATCGCTCTGAAATGGCAAAAAGGAGGGGAAAAACCACAAACAATGCTCATATTTCTGTTTCAATACCTACCCATCTTTACTACTCTACAGAGATACACACTGACCCAGCAAACAGATGATGTCACTCTTCCAATCTTTTAAAGACAATATTACAGTTTTGGAAAATACTACTTAATCCAAATGGATGGTACCCGAAAGGGTTTCCTTTTAAAATTATTTTTCATACTAGCTTTCTTCAGTTGATAAATCATTTTCATGCTAATAAAATGAGGAATAGCTCTTCTGAACTTGTTTATTGAAAGATGACACCAGTTTCAAAATAAATTGCAAAATGTGTATTAAAGGCCAGATAAACCACAGGTATAATTTAGATTGAGGGGAGCAAAAGATTCATTTTTTAATCTTTAATCTATAAGTGGATGGTTACAATAGTTAACATTTCAGCACAATAGCATTAAAGTGAATATATCTTATAATTCTAAAATTAGGAGATCAAATTATTTGGTTACGACAGGACTTATACAAAAACATACAATTTTCAAATATATACAGATATCTAACAAGTAAAGTAAGCAACATTTGTTTGACTGATTAACAGTTTTATTTCACTTGTTCACAATAACTGTCAGTGAATGAAAAGATGTTAGCAAAAGAGAAGTAACTACACTTTTCAGTCACTTACTTTTCTGAAATAAAATTGCCTGGCTATAAACAGCCAACTGAAACTACAATCCACTCTCCTGTGTGTATAAACAAATCACGGTAAAGATAGGGCATAACTGAACTTTTACATACAGCCTTCTATGAATATAAGACTTAAGTAAGGAAATACAGAACATGTAACTAGGAATGAACATGATATTGATGTTCAGAAGATCACTCTGAGCTACTTCACAGGCTTCTGAACAAGCAAAAATTGTTATGCTTATATTTATAAATTAGGAGAGCCTGCATTCACCCCTCAATTAAAACTGAAGTAGCAATGTCAAAACTTATTTATTCCTTCAAGCTAAATTCAAAGAAAAAAAGGAAATATAACAACATTTACATATGCAACTTAACTAAGGAGAACTGTTCGGCTGAGTAAAAGGTACTGTGGCACAAATTAATCAAATTTTAAATAAGCTTTCCAAAGAACAATCCTTATTAGTCATTAAATTACCAAGTGCTTTGCACCAGATTTTTATGTTTGTGAACTCCGGTATGTTCCAGGGCACTGGCAAAAAGTACAAAATAAAAACACACAGATAAGCAAGAATAAATTCCACTATTATTTATTAGTTACAGCATCAGATACATAGTCTATTCAGCTGTATTTTACTTTTCTGAAATTAGAGAAAATGAAATCATATCTTCATTTGAGTACCAGTGTCAATCCATCACAAATTTAAGAACAAGGTTTTATTTACTTATTGTAGTTACAGAATAGCTTCGCTAAATGAAATATTTTAAATCATGACACACAGTAACACGACAGCAAGAGAATCTGTCACTCAGTTCTCAATGCATATATTTTCTAAGAGGGCTAAGAAGTTAAGATGTAATATAATTATTTCCTATTAAGCACTAGTTTGTTGAATGAGAATATACAGTAAGTACTATTTGAATATTTTAAATCAATAAAATAAATCTAGAAAGTCTTACTAGTTGTTTTCTAAAATTGTGGTCTTCACATTAAATTGGTGTGGCTGTTTATTATTCCCCATTAGTTGTTTTTTTTTTTCCTTTTTGTCTTTTTTCGTGACCAGTAACGGGATTGCAACTCTCAGTGTCGCGCCATACCATGACTGGCAACGGGATCGCAACCCTCGGTGTCGCGCCCGCACCACGCTCAACCAGCAAGCTGACCGGTCTCTATATGGGATCCGACCCCTTGGCGGGAGCGCCGCCCCACTCCCAAGCGCCGCACTCTACCGAGTGCGCCACCGGGCCGGCCCTAGTTGTTTTTTTTTTTCCTTTTTGTCTTTTTTCGTGACCAGTAACGGGATTGCAGCCCTCAGTGTCGCGCCCATACCATGACTGGCAACGGGATCGCAACCCTCGGTGTCGCGCCCGCACCACGCTCAACCAGCAAGCTGACCGGTCTCTATATGGGATCCGACCCCTTGGCGGGAGCGCCGCCCCACTCCCAAGCGCCGCACTCTACCGAGTGCGCCACCGGGCCGGCCCTAGTTGTTTTTTTTTTTCCTTTTTGTCTTTTTTCGTGACCAGTAACGGGATTGCAGCCCTCAGTGTCGCGCCCATACCATGACTGGCAACGGGATCGCAACCCTCGGTGTCGCGCCCGCACCACGCTCAACCAGCAAGCTGACCGGTCTCTATATGGGATCCGACCCCTTGGCGGGAGCGCCGCCCCACTCCCAAGCGCCGCACTCTACCGAGTGCGCCACCGGGCCGGCCCTAGTTGTTTTTTTTTTTTTTTTTTAAGTTAGCATTTTAATGTGCCAAATCCACTCACCACAGGTTTATTTCTGGTGTGACAATCACAGTATACCTTAAGTAGTCTAAACTATCAGAAAAGCGCTAATGAAAGCACTCAGTTTTCAAAGGACTCATATTTTGCTAAGCATTTCAATCCTGAGAGATACAAAAAAGTAACTACTCTGAAGAATTAAGAAAATAAAACCAATTAGACAAATGAAAATCACATATTAAAACCAGGATGGGGACAGATCTCTACATTTATAATAAACATTGCATTATATTTACCTAGTTAACTAGTTAAATGTTTTCACGTAAGTAAAAACAATTTTTAAAAAGGCAATATATGTAGAAGTTTTAGAATCTTTAAACCAAAACTACACACTAACCTTATATTCATTTCAGTCAAATCAAAATTTCACCAGAATATCTAGATAGTATTGACAATGATAACTAATTTTACATCTAGCTTTAACAGATACATGACGAAAGACTCAAGGATGTACAGATGTAATATGCAGCATAGAAAATGACTCCACAAGAATAAAAAGTTATATATTCCAGGTAACTGAGAAAGCACAGGTACTTAGCTTATGCTTACTTCATACATTTTATGTTGGTGTCACAAACTTTCTACTTAAGTCAGGAAATTAAGAAGTTGAACAGAGTTCAAAACTGTCGATACCAATGTGGAAAAAAGAAACCCTGCTATATTTGTTTCCTTAATAGTTAAATTATCATAAAGGATACTTTATTTATTTATTTTTTTTTTATGGAGGCTCTTTCAGGAATTTTAAAGCTTTATTTTATTTTTTGTCTTTTGTCTTTTTCCATGTCCGGCAACGGATCACAACCCTCAGTGTTGCCCCCGCACCGGACTGGGGACCGGCAACGGGACCACAACCCTCGGCGTTGCTCCCGCGCCTCGCTCAGCCAGTGAGCGGGAACCGGTCTGTATGTGGGATCCGAACCCTCGGGCGGGAGCGCCGCCGCGCTTCCCAAGCGGCGCACTTATCCAGTGCGCCACCGGGCCAGCCCAAGGATACTTTAAATCCACAGAAAACCTGAAGGAATTAAAGTATTTTACGGAAAGAAATTAACAAAAATAAGGGATACAAGAGTAATATATGATTTGGGGATAAGGAAGTCTAAATAAAAATATGGAATTCAATTTGTAAGCTCATATAGAGGGTTAAAGATGGTCACACAAATTTTAAAGTTAGTCATAATAGATGTGGAGGTGTCTAAAGTTTACTACTAGAGAAAGGGAAGAGGACCAAGCAAAAGGCCTCCAACCTTGAGGTACTGCTTGATTCCTTCAACACACACTAGTATGGTAGTTAATGTCCTAATCATTTTCCACTTTCAAATAAGTTATAATATTTGCCCCCCAAAATTGAGATGTTATTTCCAAAGTATAAATTTTGATTACTTGAATGCTGATAATAGTGTTTATTATGAAAAATTTCAAATGTACAGAAAAATGTAAAGAGGATAGCATAATGAACCCTACCTCCCATCCCATATACTCATCACGTACACCTAACAGATATTATTTGGGTTTTTTTGTTTGTTTTGTTTTGTTTTTGTTTGTTTTTTTGCAGCTGGCTGGTAAGGGGATCCGAACCGTTGACCTTGGTGTTATCAGCACTATGATCTAACCAAGTGGGCTAGCCAGCCAGCCCTCTAACAATTATTATTAACATTTCACCAGATTTGATTTCTTTGTTATTTATGGCTTAGGTACTTTAAAATAAATTACAAAAATCTTGATTTTATTTTCATCCCTCAATACTTTATATGGATTTCAAAACTGAAGGACATTTTCCTATAAATCATAATACTATTATTCTATCTAATAAAAATAAAAGTAATTCCTTAATACTATCTACCACTGAGTCGATAGTTAAAATTTTCCAATTGCCCCAAAATGTCTTTGTTAATTTAAAGTAAGAAAGAAAATAATTAATAATATATAAAATTTAAGTTTCATCTCTATTTTTAAATGTTGGGCTCAGATCTCACGCTATTAGAAAGAAGAACCCATGTACATGTTTACCTCTGTTTTTCTTCTGTTGGCAGGCATTCAGCACATCTTTCTGGAACTTAGTTTCTACAGGTGAGGGTGATGAAGAATTCAGGGAATGTTTTTCATGTTCATACCACAACTTTAAAACAAAATTATTCAGTTAAACAAAGACTGGTAAATATAGTGATCTTTTCAGTATAAAAGGGCTAATGTATGACCTAAAGATATACTGACAACAAAATCTGTTATGCTTGTGTGAAAAACAAATTACCTCAGGCACATCAAATGGAACTTCCCGATTACTGTTTCTAAGGATTTCTGCTAATAATCTTAATGTCTTCTCACGAGGAATAACATTTTCTTCTTGCATTTTATTCCAGACAGTATCAGCTCTTTGCCAGTCACCATTTATTTCTGTAGAATTTGATTAAGCAGAAATGAATGAGCACACTAAATAGAATTCATGAAAATATTTAGAACTTTTTCTTATTTGATGTTGCAGGAAGCACTATTCCAAATGTTGCCTTCAGGGAAAGAAACCAAAAGTGATTATGACCCAAAGGTGAGTAGCACACTTTTTCTATATACATACATACATACACACAGACATATATATATAAATACATATATATAAAAATACCTTTTGAATTATAAATCACAGAAATAGCATACCTATTGGGGAAAAAAAAAACCCACTCCCCACACTTTATTAAACACTTTGAAAATATTCGCTGCCAAAATCAAAATCAGAAACAGGTAACAATTCAACTATGCCCTTCAGTCTTTGCAAAGACAGTAGATATATGTATACTGTATAGTACACAGCTGTGGGTCTAAAATGATTGAAAGTGTTCAATGTATGATTTTTCTTTAGAAGTGATAAATCTATAAACCTTTTCACACTTAGTTGAATAGAGAGAATTGCCTGTGATTCTTCTGTTGACTTGAAGAATGTCTAGGACAACGTGTGATAGATTCTATATTCTCAGATTTCTTAGCTCAAAAGATAATGCTATCAGATTAAGTGTTAAAGGAGGACAAAAAGTTTGCTGGAAAGGAAATAAGCAGATTCTTTCACATTGAAACACCCAGTTCCTTCTATGTGGTAACCCAGTCTTCACAAATAGCAAAAACGGAAAAGAAGAAAGACTTAGTTTTTAAAATTCTCATGGGTGAAAAGAGAAAAGCCAAGTAATTTAATTTAACTATTTTCTGCTTGTGAAAAGCTAGAGTAAAATACAAAAAATTTCACATGACACTAAGTTCAACACAATTATTAAATGCAAAGAAAGACTGCTTTATATTTTTTTAAAATTTGCAAATACGTATAAGGAACATTTTGATTGCATAGGGTCCAGCTCTAGGAAGGGGGCTTGTTTTAGAGTACAAGTGTTTCAGAAAACATGAATAAATTTGTTCCTCAGCATCTTAGAGGAAAAATACTAAAATATAAATATAAAACAAATGGGATTTTCTTAGATTTTTTCCCTCTGAAACGAAAAAGCAAAGTCTTTTTGATTTAATGATTCCTGGAAGTAAAAAATTCAGAGAACAACGACAACAAAAACATACTCATAGTACATCAAAAATCAGAAATAAAAAATCAAAACTACACTGAGATACCATCTCACCCCAGTGAGGATGGCTAAAATCCAAAAGACTCTGAACGATAAATGCCAGCGAGGTTGCGGAGAAAAAGGAACTCTCATACATTGTTGGTGGGAATGCAAAATGGTGCAGCCTCTATGGAAAATGGTATGGAGGTTCCTCAAACAATTGCAGATAGATCTGCCATATGACCCAGCTATCCCACTGCTGGGAATATA